TCAAGAAATTAATTGTTGAAGTTTGTGCATTTTTATCCGGTTTTAAAGTGGTCGGACACTTTTGACCGGGGAGTGTATGTCGGAACATAAGAAAGCAAAAACCTTTTGTTTGGGAATGCATGGAAAATTAAAACGATGTAAATAGTTGCCAGTCCCGTAATCAATGATTTGCACCTACTGATTCCGGTGCTAATTCGACACTCTGCTTATTGTTAGTTTATTGCGCAATACTAAAAATAACTACCAAAACGCCCAATGAGCTAGCTTTGATCACAACTATTAGCTATATTTAAATGATTTTATCAATCGTCATAAATTCGTCAATCATTAATCGTCAATTCGTCAAAACAAAATTGATGGCATAGATGGGAATGTCGTGATTAGGCGTCGGAAAGTTGGATATGTCGAATTTGGGCGTCGGTAGGATGGGAGATTATATTCAAAATCCAAGTTAAACTGATTTAGGGGTGGTTTTTTTCGAACTGGTTTAAGGTATGTATGTACTGTATTACAGGAAACGTTTAGTTCATGCATCATGACCTACAGTGAGAAAAAAATTCTAGTGTCTCTAATTTAGAATACCTAGTTCCTATACTCTTAAAAAATCCTAAAAACTATATTAATGCTGCCATTCTAAAGAAATCGAGTGACCTACATGAATGATTTTTAATTAGTAAAATTTAAACTCTAAATCGTTTTGTTATCAGGGAGAACTAACTACAAACCAATTTTCAGTTAAAATTGGTACCAAATTCGTTGAGTTATTTGATCCCGAAGTATCAGATGAATGCTAGTAAAATAATCCAAGATTTTTCTGCTAGCATTCATCTGGTACTTTGGGATCATAAAACGATTTAGAGTCTAATTAAAAATTATTCATGTAGATCACTCAATTTCTTTAGAATGGCAGCATTAATATAGTTTTTAGGATATTCTCTAGGTCATTAGCTTTAAAATGAGTATAGGAACTAGGTATTCTAAATCGATGTTAAGCGACACTAGAATTTTTTGTAAACCTTTCTTCTGTGAGCCACTGTACGTGTAAACCACCCTGACAAAAGTATCTGGAAGATCGGCAATCTTGAAAAATTAAATATCGATTGTAGCCAGTATTTCAACTTATTAAAATGAATGAGACAGAACGAACTACGACAAAAGAATATAATTGAATATAAGAATAAAACATAATACATGACGAAAAATAACACAATAAATAACAAGATGAGAAAGTATAATTGCGAGAATAAATGAATTACAAATAAACAGAACAGATCAGTATGAGCATTAATTGAACTTGGTCAGTTCAGTATGATATCGCTTTGTTGAACATAACTGTAGTCAAATTACTATAAATAGTGACTACGTGTGCAGTATTGGTACCATATTTTTCTCTAATTTGGCATAGTAACATTATTTTCCCATCACGCATAGTACATGTAAAACTTCTCCAAAAGCGTAGTAAATATTTGTGTTTTTTTTAAAAAAAAAATACTCACATATCAAGAAATACGGGGAAAATGTGTTATTCGACGATGAAGTACATCTATAAAATAAAAATGTAATACGGATATTAATTTTTTAAAAAGTTCCGGAGAGTCAAAAATCGACTTGTGTAAAACGCATTCGTATTTTAAGAATTTAAAAGTATCTCGAGATCAATAGCGACAGGGTCAACATCTTCCAAAGCAACAAGAAGATCAGCATGTTCCATCCCAGTTATTACTTCTTTCACTGAATTTTCTGGTATATATTCGAATGTTTCATCAATTGTTCGTATCACGAATTTTTTTCCTGTAGGCGGTGTTGCTCTATTAGTGACGAAAGCGATTAATGATGCAAAGGTTGTGTTCTCACCAATGGCAATTTTTTGCTTATATATCTTTATCTTTGATCGTATTGTCACTGACTTTAAGATTTTTTCTAAAGCAAACAATTAAAAGTTAATACATATATATATATATATATATATATATATATTGCTCGTAATTTAACCAATAACTATAATTCTCACCTGATGCTGATCCGTTAAAAGTATGTGACGAAGAAGTTACACTAGCTGGGTACCATGATCCTATGGTTGGAGGTTGATATTTATTAATAATGTTAGCTTTTAAAATAATAAATGAATTGCGATATAAAGTTTGAGGTAATCTGCAAATTATTACGAACTATAAATTCTTGATATTATAAGAGTCGCCATATAGAACATAGTAAATTTGGTTAAACGAACTTTTACTAATAGAATCACAGGTTCATAACTAGTTTTGACTTTTGAAGTATCAATAAACATTTTCATTATATATCAATATTCATTTAAAGTTATTACCTGCATTATATAATCTTTTTGGTTTATTATATACCACCAATTGAACTTGCTTTTCTTGGTTTTCAATATTATCAATAAAGACTTTCCAAAAACGAGCGAAGGCTATTTCATCGTTTAATCCGAAATGCTGTGAATTATTCAAACTATCTGTTCGATAATGGAGCTGAGAAATATCAATGACATCCCATTGAGGGGGCAAGTTCGATGATGCAATATTTGTATAAAGTTGACGTAAATTCTGTAATGGATCGGTAAAATTTAAATTGTTAAGAGACTCATTTACTTGTTCTCCCATATTTATGTATGGAATGGACGTGACGTCGAAACAAACTAATGTAATTGTTTTTGATTGGTCTAAATTTTGGAAATAAGAAATAAATCATTACATAATTGGCTTCATAAAATAAATACTAATCAATTACTATTACCAGAAGACAAATCATCTTGAATTTGAGATTCGTTGTTATAAATCATTTCGTTATTATTATTGATATCTGTTCCTGCCGACACATTTATGACATCCGCGGCAGGCGTCATACTATTCGTACTATTAGCAGACGCGCCAGATGTGACACTCATATCATATTCAATAAAATCCACAAACGTAGACGTGTGCTGTACTTGATGGAAATGATTATGCTGATAAATTATTGAAGTTTTCCGAGTTTCCTCTTCATAAGTTCTTATTTCGTCTAAAGCCTTCTTAATCATAGGACCAAATATTTGACTTGGCCAGCCAAAACCTAATGCGATGTTATAAGCTTTTATGTGTTGAAGATATTGTTCAAGTGAACTCGCTTTTATTAAAGCTTTTCTTTTTGAATCAATATATTCTTGAAGTGATTCTTGTGTAATAGGAAAATGAGTTCTCGATTCACCAGGATGTAAATTTTTAATCGTATTTATAAAATTAGTAACACCAACTTTTGATGCTATACGCGCATTTGCCATCACTATTATATTTTTTTTAGTTTTCGTTAGAAAAAAATTAAATGTTAATTGATTAAATAAGTTTGTGCCTTCCTGAAAGCAACAAATTTTGCTACAAAATTCCGAGTCTTTATATATAGATAAAATTTAGTTCCCCTGGCGAATTATTCATATAGCGCATGTGGTACATGTACATTTATTAACGTGTAACGATAACAAATTTTTTGATTAAATAAGTTTGTGCCTTCCTGAAAGTGACAAATTTTTGTGCCTTCGTGAAAGTAACAAATTTTTGCTACAAAATTCCGAGTCTTTATATATAGATAAAATTTAAATTCCCCTGGCGCATTTATTCATGTATTACATGTGGTACATGTACATTTATCAGCGTATACCCGATAACAACGTTTATTTAATATAACGCATGTAATAACAATTAGTTTAGCTCCTATTTACTAACTAGTACCGTCTACTAAATAAAAAAGATTATATACATTCGTACATTATTTGTTATTTATTTTTTCTTACTAAAATCATTATAATATTTGAAATATAAAGTTATATTGTTTGGAATTTTTTTTAAATAATAATTGTTCATTCTGGTAGTACAGTATGTCATGTAATTATGACGGCTTTTACTGAAATTTATAAGTCGACTTGACATCGTTGGTACGCAGAAAGGAAAATGTAAGAACTTATATATCATAATAACGAACATTTTAAATATATCTCTATAGAGGTTGTCATATTAGCGGGTGTCCATTAACAAAGGTTTAAATGTACTAATCACATTATTAATTTTATGAAGTAATTACTCCCAAAAAACTGCACACTTTGTTAACGACTTTAAGATTAGATCATGGTTAGTATTAGGTTTAGGGCTGTGTATAATTAAAGCATATGAATTTCAGTTTTATCTTCAGCTACGACATTTATTATTTATTTATTATTTATTATTATTATTATTATTATTATTATTATTATTAAAATTTATGTTCCTAACGCTAATTCTGGTGTACATATTTTACACATAAATCTTATGAGAATTAAATGTATATATAAACAAATGCTTTAATCAATAAAAATCTGATATTTATATAAGTTATTAATAATAACAAAGGAATTATATTAAATTTATAAAATTAAATCGTTAGATCGTGATAATAACTTTAGGAAATGAATAAAATGTTTCTTATCAATTTTTAATAAGCTCGCCCTTTCCCTTTGTCTGTTCGTTCATTTGCTCCTGTGGTAACTATAACGTTATTAAAAATTGACGAATCTTCATTTTGTGGTTGCGAAAGTTGATATTGTGGTTGTCGTGGCGGCTGTTGATTTTGTATTAACATCGATGTATGCGTATTTTGCTGGTTGATATTTTGGTGTTGTTGTGATTGCTGTTGCTGTTTTTGTTGTGATTGTCGTAGTTGCTGTTGTTGTTGCCGTTGTTGATGTTGTAAAAGAACTTGTTGCGATTGAAGTTGATAATTATGCTGATGATGATTTTGTGGTAATTTTAGAGAGTTGTGTTGTTGAGAAAGGATATTTGTCAAGGATGATTGAGGAGACTGCATTTGTTCTTGTCTATCCGAAAATCGATCTGGATTCTTAATCACTTCAAAAATATCAATTTTTCTGATCAATGGAGCAATGAAATAATCTAATAATTCTTCTTCAGCTTTTAGCTCTGAATCCAACATCGTAATAACGAAAATGCGTTTAGAGTTTCCTTTACATTTAATTGGTACTCGGAAATTCGTATTGCTATAATTGGGATGCATTATTCTTATCGTCGCCTTTAACATATTTGCCATCGTCAATAATTGGGGCACCCCGATTTGGTGGCCGTCCATACAAGTGCGTAACGCCTCGATTTGCCACGGTATTATATCATAATCCGGTGATTTCGATGGCACTCTTAATAATTCCATGAATTCCAAAGTTTCCGCGTGATAATATTCCCGAGCAATTTGACTTAGCTTGATATTTCCTCCCTTCATGGAAACTTCGTCAAGATGTGAATCAAATAATCTTCGGGTCGAATCTTGTTTATTAATCATGGTTAGAGCCGTTCGTACACGAAGTTCTTCGTAGAAATTATCACGATTTATCCCTATCTCGGTAGCATTCAATAAAATTGAGATCGCGCGAAAGCCATCATTACCGTCTTTTATTATTTGTAGTGGGCATTGGAATTCGCCAGCATGTTTCGGCACATAACTTTTTTCCATAAGTTCACGATCGACAACTTCTAAAGGAAATTGAGTGCGACTTTTTGGAAAATCTAGGGATTTCCATTCAGTTGCGTCTACCAATCTTTGAATATGCGTACATTCTTGTTTGATCAATGGAAAAATTCGTTCCCAGAGACCAACTCCTTCATTCCGTTCATTACTAAATGAACCTTTTATAAACTTTGCTAGTGTATCTAATCTGGTCCGCATTGCTCGGAAGAATGCAAACCGATCTAAATCGCGAAACAAAACATGGGGTTTTGGTTCTTCTCTTTGTGCATTTATTTGAATTTGCTGCTGTTGTAAATGATGATGATGTTGTTGTTGTTGTTGTTGTGTTGCTGAAATTCCTTGATAAGCCGTGGGAAAATAGTAATTTTGAAATTCACTGAAGCTTTCGCTATCATTTGATTCTTGATGTGTTTGAGATTGTTCTCCACTATTGTCGGATGCTATTTCCCACGCTTCACGATTATTAGGTAGAAATTGTGGAATAGTATCATTGTTAAATGTGCGAGAGCTTTCTCCGTTTCCCGTTTCTGTATCATCGGCAACTAAGATTTGTGAATTATCGTTACCCTCGTTTCGTGATTGATCACTATCAGATAATTGACTAGTCGAAGAAAGATTATGACTTAATTGAACTATTATATTTTCAGCAAATTCATTCGTATTATCATTTGTTTCAGAATTTGAAAGCTCATCAATTAAGTTTTCATTAATTGGTTCAATGTCTTTTTTTGATTCTACCACATTGCTATTATCGCTGAGATCGGGAATTGGATCGAATCCATCTTCGGGTAAAATGTTTTGCCAATCTAAATCCTTTCCGAAAATCGAATAAAAAGTGTCTTGACTGTTTATATCATTTGTCGGTATTTCATCATTATCTTCAAGAATTAAATTGTTATTGTTCGTGGAAATATTAATAGATTCATTTATGCACTTATCATTTTGTACGTTAGAAAACGTTTTTGCATAACTTTCGTAAGAGTCGGGATCGATTAGAAAATGTTCTATTGATCCATTTGCTTGGATAATCATACTTTGCGTTTGATCACTTATTGATAGATCTTCAGCATAATTTAATTGTTGTTGGATATTTGTATTTGCATTATCGGTGATTTGTGTGTTATTTTGAGCAGAAGAAACTTGATATGAACCTTGTGTCTCTTGAGAGATAGATCCATTTGCTATAGGTTCATTTGCTATAGGTTTAATAGATTGAGGAACATGAGAAGATGTCACTTCATGGGTGCGTTGTTTTTGAGCACTATTTGTGGGATATGGGGCAGCAGCGAGGGATTGTTGTTTTATAATCGGAGTACGACGAATTGGTCCAGTCACTTGATTCATTTTTGGACTTTGATTTTGAAACTGTTCAGAATTGTTATTATTAAAATGGACCGAGGTAGGAACTAGTTGTTGAAAAGAATCTGAAAGATTTGTAACAAGTTCATATCATTAATTTCTTCAGACGGTGCGCTCATAAATATTAAAATATACACACCCCCACAATATATTACCGGAAATTTCAAAAATGAAACTATCATTTTGGAACCCAATGTCTTGTAATCTAGTGATCTCATTTAAATAAAGATATTATCATAAGATTCGTGGAGTCGTGACAAATTTAATGGAGTATTTTCATTTAAATTGGATCATTGAATTTTGAGATATTGGATTTCAAAGTGGCAGATTCGTTTTTAGGATTTCCGGTAATATATTGTAGGTGTGTACATGGATAATATGACAAACCTGGGTATATTGCAGTCGAATAATACGAGAACGATGACGAAGGATATTGACTATTTGAATATTGAGATATATAATCATTGTTCAATCGCTGATTAACTTGTTCACTATTCAAACCTATTAGGTTTGGTTGTGGTTGCCGTTGCAACGATTTGAATTCCAAATTTTCACGTGGAACAACCGGTAGGTTTATGTCTTGTGTTGTATTATTTGGTAGGCATATACGCGCAGTTTCATAAGCTGGTTTTGACGTCACAGCGCTAGCTATATTCTGTTGCTGATTATGAGAATTTGAACGAGCAGCACTAGAAGATGCACTAGAATTTGGTGTTGGGATCTTTGCAGTTAAATACTCACGTTGATGAAGCGGAGCTTTAAATGAGGATGGCAGCAAATCAAGTTGTGTATTACCGTTACTATTATTACTATTGTTACTGAGTTGGTGATTAATATTAGCATTATTATTGGTGAAGTTATAGCTTGCAGGAGAAGACTGAGACAGTCGTTCAGAAGCTGTCAAATATTGGTGCTGGTACGGGTGATGTCTATTCATTGTTCTTTATTTTTTAGTTCAACAAGTAAATGTAGATATGAAGTGTGCACAAAAATACGAGAACAAATGTACGAATGTCACATTCAAGTTTGCAGAATCCTATTCTAGAAACGTCGCTTATATCACCCTTACACTATCTCTATGTACAAGTATAGGAACAAGAGACGCCTCAGCAAAATAAGAGATGATTAGTATATATAGAGTAAGCAATAAATTAAAAAAATTTCTACGAGGTTTTTAGGGAGACAAGACTAAATTTGTATGAAAATTAGAAAACAATGACACATAATTTTTTATTGAGTTCGTTGTTCTAATACTTTGTAATGCCTCCTTGGTACAAGGAGTTTCGTCTATTCAAATATCCGATACTTTATATATATATATATATATATATATATACACACACTGTATTTTAATATTATTCTGTATTTATTCGTTTTTATCCAGAAATAGTATTGTTCATCAAAAGTACAAAGATTTTGCAATTTTGGTAATATTATGTTTTTTTATGAATTGTTCATCGTTATTATTACCATTATTAGTGATTGTTGTTAAGAATATTAAATGCTTTTTGCTCTCATATAACAAAAAAAGAGATTCACCATAAAAGGTAAAACAAGAATAATAATATTCCATGTTTGTTGCGTTATTACTTCGATTTGAATTCTTGTTACTTTTTCCACCACCACTATTTGACATTAATCCCTGCAAGCATTACCCCTTACATGCTGTCGAGTAATTTAATTATGCTTTTTTTGATGAAAAAACCAATCAATCATATCAACTGATGAATCATTAAATTATTCTCAAAGAATAATTCTAAATACCTGGCTCTTTTAGGAATGCCATAAACCATCATGCTCTCTCAGAATTTTCAATCAAAAAACACTATTCAACATTATATACATGGGTCTTATCAGAAATTTCATACCTTCCCCATGATATTAGCAGTGACGAATTAATATTCAAAAAAAAAGAATTAAATCAAATGTTTTTCAAAAAAAAAATGAATTAAGGATTATTTTTGCGGAAATACAAAAACATTGTTTCCATTCTGAGCATTATTTCAGTGGTATGTTTTTTTTTGTTGTCTGAATACGTATGTAACTACATACATGTATGTACGCTTGGATGATTGATTTGTAACCAAGTAAATTGATGTGTCGTTGTTATTGAAACTTTGTAACGGTAATGTTTGACGACATTCGGTGTTGACAAAGGAAATGGTCCGAGAGCTTATCTTATTTCCTTCAATCAACATAATATGCACGTACGTGGCTTTTTATGCTCTATTTTACATAAAAGGTGAATTTGCTTTAATCCTGCAAAATGAAAAACTCGTAACGTATATTCTAGATAAAAAACCGAACAATGGATAGTTGCTAAAAAAGTATCACAGCTTTTCATACAATAAATATTCGTGGTACCCCCTAGGTTATTTTCAAAACCAAAAAAGTATTCATAAATAAATAAATAAATAATAAATAAATATATTCATGGTATGTTCCTCCATAACAATGAAAAAGTAAAAAATATCATATGAACCAGAATTAAAAATTCGTATGAAAATGAGGATTTTTAAGGATTTTTACAATGGAAACGAATTAACCCTGCCGCTTGCATTTAAATAGATGCAGCTCATTAAAAAGCGAGAACAAAGCATAATATAATGTTGTGTTATCTCTCTCAAACGTATTAGTTTATGTTGTATTATTGTGCAGAATATATTCGGCAAAAAACAAATATCACATCTTTATTTACCTGCATACATATTTTAAATGCAAACTTCTGTTACTCCATCATCCGGGTGCGCAAACTTTCGTATGACTTCCTTTCTAAAAAGCCATTGAAGCCATTATTCGACATCATGAATGTGATTCATGACGCATATACTCATTAGTTGCAAATTTTTAAAGTTGACCCTGAATTTGCTACAGAATCTTATATGGTTAGATTAAAAAAGCTAGATGATATAATATTTATAAGAAACAATGAAACGAAAGGTGCGCACAATGAATAATGTTTCGATAGGAAACAAGAACAATGCTTTTGTACAAAACTAAAAAGAAAATTTGTGCCGCTACATTTTGTAGGCATAAAGGTAATTTAAATTTAGGAAATTATTCTGAATGTGAGCACGTAATTTTGGTATCATTTATTTCAATTGACGCGAAGCTGCTAATCTCAAAGTTTTCGAACATTAAAAAGGTAACATGACGACGTTACACGTACATTAAAGTGCATGTATGAATCTATGAAATACAGTATCTTTTAACATTTTGTATAGACATTACTGTTTGTTAACTTCTGTACTATGCACGTCAACATGTTAAGAATTTTGGCAGTTTGTAATAAAAATCTAGCTCTATTCTTGAAAAGAGTCGAAGGCTGAAGAAATCAAAAGGAATAATAGAAAATTAAAGATTTGAAAAAATCTATTAACACAAGAGTACCAATATTTCTTCGATAAACCATTTAACCAACATTTATATGCGTAAACATGCTATTAAATATTTCAAATCCAGAAACAGACTACATTCACATGAAGAATTTCTACAATGAGGAATTCGGGTCCATTGTCACATTGCAATAATTATCTATCACGCTATGAGGAAATACGAAATTTTTTCTATAGTTACAACCGCCAATATTTTTGTATGAATTGTCACCTCTTACATTGTAATAATCATTTAATCCCTCAGCCGAGAACCAGTCGCTATTGTTTCGTAATGGTAAACTAACTATAAGTTGACCATTTTTATCTTTTGTTTGATCTACTTAATGAGTGTCGACGCCTGCTACCTTATAAAAGATGGGCGCCTGTAATGTATGTAAATAAATACGGAAATATATGATAAGGCTGTCGTTACCTTTGTAATTCGTGTAAAATGTGTCATTTTGCAGGTTTCTATAGACGTATAAATATATGAATTACACATATAAAGGATTGGAAAATTCTGCTTGTTTTAATACGTGTAAGACAAACATGCAATTACGTGTTTATACGTTCATAGAACCTTTAAAAGAACACAATTTTGCGGGTGTTTACGAAAGTAACTGGCTTATCGTATATTCCGTATTTTTTTTTACATACATTACAGGTTACCGATTTCCTATTGGGCATGTCACATAAATACGCTTATGTTGCTCTATAGTACAATTAAGTTTTACAAAATAGATTCGGACTCGATAATACAATAGAGGTTACTTAAGTATTGCCTGGGTATACACATAGTAAATTGATTTATCTGAGAGGACTATATAAACTTCATGTGTTGAACTTTGTGCATTGTGATTTCTCTTTGGAAGATATTCTATGTAACTTAAAGCTTCTAACATTGGGCTTACTGGTCAGATAATCTAATGAATCTAACAAGATATCTACCCATCTATCAGCTCAGAGGTGTTAACAGAAAAACCATACACCACAGCTGCAGATATTTGTTCGAACAATGCTTTGTCTGCAACCTCTTTGTTAATAAAATATCAGCTCATTGGATTTCATAGCACTTACCGATTTAGTTCGATAAATCATGCAGATGGAAAGTTTTTTCAGAAGCATCTTAATAAATTGCACATCAAACAACTTGTCGGGACCATATGACTATCATGCATTTAGAGAAAGATCTCATTTATAAGGGCTATAATGATTGGTGGTCTCGTAAACGTAGGACTAACCAAGGGCGTGCATAAAGAGAGAATTTGCACTTATGAAGGCTGCATTTAGGGAAGCGGACTAAATATGATATCTTATATACAGTATGTCTTATACAACACATAGCCAATCCATATTGTTCCCCATCCCAAACTATAAATAGACTATGATACCGGGTTTTAGAACATACGCAGTATGTATGTATGTATACGTATGAAATAAATTGGATTACATATGATAAGTTGTAGAAACTAACCGTTTTAAGTTATTCGAAATATCGAAAAATTCAGTTTGAAATTTTAATTATAATAAATTCGAAATTTCTCAACAAATTTACTCAAAAATATTGTTCATCAATTAGATTATTTTTGTTTGTAATTTTTCTCGCGGTGTCAAGTGTTTTGTCTTATAAAAAGATTCATGCATAAAAAAAGGATGGAGATTAAGTTAAAATATCAATAAGTATTTTATCAAATTATTTTGGAATTTTATCCAATAGCTCTTTATAGATATGCTAGCTACTACACTTATTGTATTGATGCTTTATACAAAAATTGTTTCTTTACTATTCTCGGATAGCATAACGATAAAAGCTTGGGTTTTTGATTTGCTTATAAAACAATTAATTTGAAAAGTGTGATTCCTGTTTGTTATTTAATAAAAAATTCATGATTTGCTTTCATTTCATAATTTAGATTCATCATATGTACGCACAACACTTTGTTTATTAGAATATCTTCTTCTTATTACAGGTATAAATATCGTAATAATAAAAATCTTAGAAGATTAGAAAGTACTTGTCTTTCAATAAAGTTTCTTTTGCCATTGATATTATTACTATTACACAGTAATTAAAAAATTGAGCCTTAGAAATATTTTGATCCTAAGAATTAAACGTATTTTGTTTTGTTTGATAAACTTTTCAGATTGAATTATTACTGAAACACAGAGCTACTATTAATTGAATTGATTGTAAATACGTATATTTTCTCACGAATTCTCGAAATATAACAATGATATAAACCATCCTGCAACACGACATTTAGTACATGTACTATAAAGTCAAATGCCTTATGGTAACACATGCAATAATTCCATTTTTTTAAAATCTGAAACGTTTCACCTAGTGAACTTTTTGGTTTCACACTAACTACTGTACGTATTTGTAAGGTTGAAAGTTTGCAGATCAAAATTAGTCGAAACTTGTTTCGACTGAAATACTTTAAATACGTAATCCAAACAAATTTAAAACATGAGCGTAAGTTTTAACCTTAAGTTGATATATGATGTCATTGAATTCAAATTTGAGAAAAACGTAAATAATAACCCAGAACTAATCCCAATACTTCTGAATTGAAATTATTACTTCGCATTGTTATTACAGTATGCTCGAGAATATTAAGTCGTCATGGGAAATATCGAAAATACGTATGTAAGGTAGTGCTTATGAACGCGACAAATTTAGTCATCGCAGAGGGTTTGGTCTGATATAAAATATGCAGAGAAATATGCCGAAATGAGAATTATTATAAATTAAAAAAGTCAGAATTAGACCTAAAAGAAAGTCATATAAATTAAAACTAATAAAACAATTACTTTGTTTAAAAAGGCGGTTGTTATATTAATAATCAAGAGATCAAATTTTTATGTTTGATAACACATGTATATTAATTAATGATAATGAAAATATAGAGTAATTAGTTTATAAAGCATATATACTTTTTTTTATTGATGCAAAAGTATTTGAATTTTATTCATCAGGAAACTTATTTTGAAATTGCATGTAATATTCTAAATAAAAAAAATCCAGAAGTAATACCGTAATTCGTGGATATAAGTGTTGAAAAAATATATAGACTCGGTTCTGTAGATCCGATTTTATTATACAAGCATTACGAATATTATATCAATTACACTATCACAAAGGTAGTTGGACTAAGAATTGTGGATACGACAAGGGTCGAAACCTAGACTGAATGATGGGTTTCACTAAGGTTCTAAGGGTATCCTGTGCCAATCTTCACGGAGATTGTGCAATCGAAGGCGATAGAATTATTCAAAGGGCAAATGGTAAAGGTAAGGCATGAATTAATAATTTAATTCACAAAACAAAAGTAATATTCAGCAACTAAAAATTATAATCAATTAAATAATGCAAATTAACTTTATTAATTTACTAGATATCTATTATCCCAAATAGCAAATAGGTTTCTTCCAAAACGAGTAAAACAAATAAAATTCGATGTCAAAAGCAAACAAAAGAATAATCCAATAGTTCCAAGAACTCAAACAAAATGGCTGGCTTGTGAGAGATGTTCTTTATATACAATTTAGTCACTAACACTATCTACAAAATTTGCGGGTGCTAATTTATAGGAGAAACATTGTTGGGTGAATTCTTTGTAAAGAGGCATGGCATTGCTATCGACGCAAACAATAATAATGATAAATGAATTGTAACAACAAACAAAGTAATTATTATCAAGAATAAAATAAAAAAACTTTACATACAACACAGAATGTGAATTTTTGTAAGAATTTTGTAAAGTTTCATTGAATCAAAGTAGTAACGTACGATTCGAATGTTTGTGGTTTTCTGTCGACAATCACATTCTTGGGAGCGCAAGATAGAAATGGTTAGAGAGGATTCGTGTCATTAGAAAGTCAACGTCGCTAATTGATAACACAAAGCGAGAACTTTTGTATGAATTTGGCATGGCGACGTTAATGTTGATGCTACAAAGTAAGAACTTTTGTAGAAATTTTGGCTAGTTCAGGTAATACAGAACAATAAGGCTAATTGGTTTTAATATAAGGGTTTTTATTTCTCAGCAGCTTATTTCTAATTAAGAGCAGTAATAAGATCGTTTTGCATTGGTACAGAATTTCGTGATCACGGATTTGTCGTAATCATCGACGTCACGAGATAATTTTCGAAATTACGGGATTTCATGCTGCGACAGCAACAACACTAACGCATATTCACTGTACTATGCACGTTTGTATTAAAATATCACTTCTTCCTACAATAGATCCCAGGTTTTACACCATGATAGAATGTAACAGATCCAGGGTGGTTATGCCACGAATTACGGTATATGAAAATATTTTGAATGAAATAGAGAATTAAAATAAATTTAAAATAATATATATATCATAACTAGCTATAAATACATCTTCTCTTTATCCCTAGGTTGATTTCATTTAGATAAACTCGGAATCAAATCTGAGATTGCAGATGTAATTTGAAAAGTAGCATCTATAAGTTGTATTTAAAGCTATTTTGAATATTTCCTTTTTTAAATTATAAATTTATATGACATAATTAACTATTATATTTTCATATTTGGAAATAAATATTCTGAAATTTCATGAATATTAATAAATTTTTAGTAGTATATATATTTGTAATTGTCATTAAACTTTATAATTTATTTAAAATTATTTGATATTTTATTTGGTAAATCAAAATTATATTTAGAAATAATTAAAATAATTTATTATTTGCAATTATTAATTTAAATATTACTTTAATAAATTAAGTTTTTAATTTTTGTAAATAAAAATAAGTTTTATAACTTTTATTATTGAACTTTATTAATATTCAATTAATAAAAATTAATTATTGGAATAACCCTTGAAAAATTAAAGAACTCGATTATTTATTTTATATAAAATAAAAATTATATAAAAATAAAATTAAAAAATTTTAAAATAAGATAAAAGTTCTATATTTTATTAATAAAATTAATTTTTATTATATTTTTTAATTTATAAATATTTAGAATTTTTATTTTAAACTTTTAATAATTAAGTAATATTATAATATTATATAATAAAAATTTTAATAGATTATTAATAAATTCTTTTTATAAATTCTTTTTGATTTTTATTAATTTAAAATATTAAACTTTAAAAATTTTTCTAAATTTTATTAATATATTTAATAAATATTTTTATTAAAAATACTTTATTAAATTTCTTTAAAATTTTAAATTTATTAAAGTTTTTTAAATTTAATAATATTAAATCAATTTTTAAATTTAATATAAAGCTTTTATTTTTATATATATAATGCTTGAATTTTTACTAATTAAAATATAATTAAAAGTATTAAAATATTTATAACTTTATATTAAAAATTTTTATTAAATTAATATATTAAATTTAAATATTTTATAATATGGCCTATTACAAGAAGATTGATATATTAATATAAAAATTAATAATTACTTCTAATAAAAATTATTTAAATTTTAACTAATCTTTATAATTTTTTATATTAAATAAAAAATAATCTATATTAACTTTTTTACTATTTTAATTATTTTATTATAATAATAAATAAAGTATTACTTTACTAAAAAAAATTAAAATAAAATTATTTTTTTAAAAAAAAGATATTTTAAATATTATTATTATTAATTTACAAGATTAAAGCTTTAAACTATATAAATAAGTTGCTCTAGATTTGATAAATATATATTTTAAATTTCATAAAAATTGAATTAATAGTTATAAAAATATTAGGATTCAAAGTTAAATAATTAAATTATTTGGAATAATCTAAATAGAACATTCTATTTCAGAAACAACCTCAAAAAATCATGTGATATAATTAATCAATTACATAATTATATAATTGATTATAATATTTATATAATTATTATATAATTATGTAATCATATAATTAGTTATGTACTATACTAATAGAGCAACTATTATTTTAATTACCTCTCTGTTTTATTACTTTAATCATCTGATTTCAGTTATTTTAATTGATTAAAACTATATCATATTACATATTATATTATATTAAGTATAATCCAAATATATCATATAACTATTTTATATTCTTTGTATTTACCATCAGTTTTTATTGCAAAATAGTATCCAAAGGCTTAAGAAAAGTTAAAATGAATATAAAAATTTATATACAAGATATGACTTATATATTTGATATCAAAAGACAATAGATTATGTAAAACTTAACTATCAAAACTTCTTAAGATAATAATTCTCTCATCATATCAATTGATATTATAATTTATAATATATGATGACTTCTCTAAATATCAAAGTATAATAATTTATATCATATTAAGATTCAAAATTTTATTGCAAATATAGGACAAGAAGAAATAGTTATATCATCTTTAAATAAGAGTATATATAAGAGCAAAAAAAAACCTATATGTTAGTTATTCCTATTTCTAATATAGAATCTACTCCTTTAATATAGAATATATTTCTTATATAAAACTGATCAATCAAGTATTTCAGGATGATACAATTAAAAAAATAGTTAAATCAAGTAATTAAGTACAAAGTATTGTAAATGAAGATGAAATTATTAGTTATAATTTTAGTTATATTAGTATTAAATTTCTTGTTAATTTTACTTTTATCTATATATAAATGACTATAAAGTTATAAATCTTTATATTGATTATATCTTTGAATCATGAAAAAAGATCAATAATATTATAAAGATCTATAGCAAATAAAAAGAATTTAGAGTTATTCAAAAAAGATTAGAATAATATAAAAAGAGATATATAAAGTATCTTAGTTATAAATATAAATTTAGTAGCTATTCTTAACCAAAAAAAAGTTAATATTTATGACTATCATGATCATAAATCAAAATAACAAGAATATAATTGGCATGTTAATATTAACTCTTTACAAAATACTTCAGTTATAACTCTTATTACTTTTGATAATATATATAATTACCTATTAGATGTTAATACTTAATATTATACTTTAGTATACTAGAGCATTCCTGAGAATATTCTTAACAAAATTCAATTTTTGATCAAAAATAAAAATTTAATAATTAGCATTTAAAGAAGATTATTAAAGACAAAGTTTTCAGATAAATTTATTCTCAATCATAATCTTGTAAATATCATATAAAATTCAAAATTTGTACTAATAAAAATCTGAATACATTCTATCTACTAATAATTCTTATTGAATAAAAATCATATAATTATTAATAGACTATTGAGTTTGAGCTGAATAATAAAAATTAACTTACCTATCTCTTTTGAATATTACTAATATAGATTATTTTTTGATTAGAATACTATAATATTTTCTTAAATAATAATATCATCAAAACAAACTGGTATCAAATGCCACTTTCAATTTTTTTTTACTATAAATAATAATACAAGATCATGTCTTGTGATATAAGCTCTCATGTTAGATAAAATAATTAAGTTTTATAATAGATTCTAGAATATATCAAAAAAGTAATAATAACTAAGTCATTAGTATTCATTATAGATATAAATCTTGTAGTAGATGTCATAATCAAATAAATAAATAAAATTACCTATTCAATTCACTGCATTTTTCATAT